GACAGAGTCCTGAGAGGCCTCGGGCTCCTTTCTCCTGGATCCCCCAATCATTAGTCAACACTCTGCTGGCTCAAGATCATATGACAGTGGACTGACTGCAAATCTACTCAACTGTACTTTTGCCTAGGTCTTCTAGATGCACTCTATCTGTGGCACTTGCCTTGTGTACCAGTGTAGTTAGCTATCTTACCATAAAATGGATTTATTTGGAGATTAAGGGTCATGGGATTAAGGCAGAAGGAAATCTGCCATCTTGTGGGCTTGGGGCTGGCTTGAACCGGAAACCAAGAGGAGCTGGAGCATATCAACACTTGGAAAGAACACGCTACCTTACTGTTACGTATAATCCAATTAGTGAAACAGAGGGTCATGTGCTAGGCATGCCATTTTGATGGGCAGCCAGAAGCAGGTACAAATACCTGGATAGACAGTTTCTAAAAGGAAATTTCTGGCCCCGATAGGCAGATTTTCTGAGAAACTGCTTTCTCCCAGAGCTGGGGAGTTGAGAAGGAAAAAGGTTTTTGAACATAAACTTTTATATTTCAAGAAAATGGCTATTTCTGGAATCTAACAAAAACACATCTTCTAAGTTATATTTTTGCCATTAGATACTTTGATTTTCCTAAGGAGGTCGCATCTGTATATACATTTTAAAAGGCCCTCCCAGGGGCACCTGTGTGGTTCAGGGGTTAAGTATCTGCCTTTGGCTCAGGGCATAATCCGGGAGTCCTAAAATCTGGTTCCGCATCAGGCTCCCCACAGGGAGACTGCTTCTTCCTCTGCCTGTGTCTCTGCCTCTCTCTCTGTGTCTCTCGTGAATAAATAAAAAATCTTTAAAAAAATAAAATAAAATAAAAAATAAAAGACCCCCCCAACTCCTTGGAAGAAACTCAGGCTGCTATAGAGAATTTTTCCTGCCAAGGGTGCAAGCTTGCCATCTAGTGGTGACTCCTGCAAACTGAAGGCGGTTGATCCCAGGAGGACAGTTCTGATGGTTTTGTTTGTTTTTTAAAAAGCAAAATGTCTCTTTTAGTTATATACTATCTTCACACACACACACACAGGTCCTGTGCACAAGTATAGCTGGAGAAACACTGCACTGTCCCCACTCCGTGGCATTTAGACTGAGGCCCATGTGAGTCCTCAGTGTAAAGAATTAGTTGAAGAATGGCTTGGACCTCTCATGTTGGGTCTGTTCTCTAGTCTGTGAAGAAGTGTCACTCATTCACTCACTCTTTCATTTCATCCACCCTCCCATCCCACTGGTCACTCCTCTGTGATCACTAAGCTCCAGGCCTGACAGCAAAAAGAACCATGTAAGATCACTGAGATGATTAACTTGTGAAAACAAAAACAAAAGAAAACAAACAAAACAAAAAATTAGGCATGATACAATGATAAAATTATAGGGGGTACTTATATTGGGTCAATTCTCAGTTTTCACACCAAATGTGGCTGGAAAACACCACTGTAAATCAAATCATGTTCTCTCATTAAAAGACCTTGACCTGACAAATACATAGACTCGAATAGGTCAATATAGATCCCTAAGGCCAAGCTACAACATTTTTATATATCTCTATAAGGATTAAAAATAAAAAATTCTGGAAGTTCCATAAATATGGTACTGTATAAAATAAAATCTATTGCTGAATTCAACACTTAAAAAATAATTCTTTGCTAGTTATAACAAACATTAAACACTTAGCTGGCAAGAATTTTATTAGTAATCTAACAATTTAGGCTTTTTTGAGGTTCCTTAACAAAAGAGTAATGCAAAGTGTGGAGTGAGGCCTTTTTATTTGGTAAGTTTATTTATTTGGCAGTAAAAAAATGGACTCGAAATCTTTAAATTTGTCATAGCATTTTTCAAAAATAGTCTCTAGCTCTACATTTTGCCAGGAGATGGCAAATCCATGCATGGGTAGATAGTAAAATTTTAAAAGCAATGTCAAAAAAGATGCAAGATGATTTCTAGAACATATAATTTGTTGTGAAACAGTTTTATTTTTAGGAATAATTTAATTTTTATTACAAATAAAACAGGAATAAAAAAGAATGAAGCTAATAGTTCCATGTTATCTTTTTATCTTTATAAAATCCCCTTAAAGGAGGCTCAAAGGAGTTAAGCAACTTGTTCAAGGTCATAAGACCAGCCAGTGGAAGAGTGAAGCACTTGGTTTTGAACTTTGGTGCATCTGACTATAAATCCTCAGTATGTGAATGTGCCTCCCATGACGATTTGCTCTTATTTCCACATAAAGGTCAACAGAACGTTCAATTAACAGAAGTCGCAAGTTCAGTTAGCGATGTCCTAATTTTGTTCAATTTTTCTATTCTTCTACCTATTTTTTACTTAATAGATTTATCCCTGTAAAACTCACCAACTCTTATTACTTCCCTAGAGTAACAAAGTACTAAACTGGAGAAGCAGAATTACTTTAGTTCATATACATATATATCAGAGCTATATTGCAAATGACTTCAGTGGTGTGTGTGTATGTATTTCACATCCCCGCATTGGAAAAGAAAGGAAAAAAAGAGTGAACCTTTTTCTTTTTCAGTAATTTAAAAAAGTAAAATATGTTAGAACGAGCACAGTATTTTCAAAGTGTCCTGCAAATTGTAATTTTAGAAAAAGTACCCTGCTAAGTAATCATGTATGGCATTTACAGAAATAGATAACGCTCTGGTGAGAAGCAAGTGAGCAGTGTCACACAAAACCAAACTGCAAAGGGTGGGTGGGTGGGGGGAAATGAAACTTTAATTTTTCAATCACTGAATTTTTGGACTTAGAGGAGTTTTTAAACAAAGGCTAATTGTGAGTCTGTTCCCATGAGATGATCCTACGTAATTCAGGACAGAGGAGTAATGAATGCAGACAAGAGAAAATTGCTGCAGGTTACGGAGGCAACTATGCAGAAGAGAATGTTCTGGCGACTGTGGAGATGTGGAATTTGAGGGGCAATTAAGTCAGAACTCCGGCACTTGACCTCAGCTGCCTTCATTAGCCAGTAGCTCCAAGTTTATGAACGTAATTACGGTGAACTAACTGCATGTGTATTTATTTCTTGAATGCCTCTTTTTCCTACTTGAATCTCAACTCCATGAAGGCATCTGTCTCTCTGTTCCCTGGCACCACATCTGGCACAAAGCAAGCATGCAATAAACCTCCCTCATGCACAGCTTCATGTCATCTAGAGGTTAAAATCTTGGACTCTGGAGTAGGGCAGAGCTAGGCTGAGATAGGAGTTCTTCCACATATGACTTATAATGGCTTTATGCAGGTCTTTTAACTTCTAGGCACTCAGTTTCCTTAACCTGTGAAATGGGACAGTAATAGAATTTACCCCATTTGGCCGTTGTGAGGATTAAATGGGATGAGCATAATGCGCAGGGCAAACTCATGGGTAGGGCCATTTTAGCAGATGTCACCAGCCCTTTCTGTGTAGTGGGAGTTGGGTTGCTCATCTGCTTCTACACTCAAATGCTCATTTGGGTCATGTGGGGGAGCTTGTTTCCACGAAGATCTGTACCCTGTCACCAGTCACCAGATTCTGATTTGCTAGGGCTGCAGGGAGGCTCAGAAATTTGCATTTTTAAAAGGCATCTGGGAGTAGTTCAGACGCAGGGAGTCTTGGACCACCCTTGGAGAAGCACTGCTTTAGAGAGACCTCAATTCCCAGATTTCTGAAGAGATGGACAAACTAACAGTAATATATAATACATGACTCTTGGGCCTGGGTAATGAAAGTTAAAGAACTAGCATCTTAGTTGGGATGGGTGGGTGGGGGGAGTTTATTTTTTTTATTTTATTTATTTATTTATTTATTTATTTATTTATTTATTTGGTGGGGGGGAGTTTAGAAAATGAATAGGTTTCATAAAAATTCCAGCATGGAAAGCCAGCAAAATTTATGTTACTCCCATATTCACCAGTGACAGCTCACCGATGCCGTTTCTGTCTTCTCAATTATTTCCAATACTGTCCCTTTAACATCTGGACTAGGAAAGGACTCTGCTTTGCTTGCTTCAAGAACTCTCAGTGTTTCCCCAGAGACATGGAGTTCAGAAAAGTAAAACAAATAATTATAGAAGGGGATAGGGATGTCTCTGATTTTTTTTTAAAGATTTTATTTATTTATTCATGAGAGACACAGAGAGAGAGGCAGAGACACAGACAAAGGGAGAAGCAGGCTCCATACAGGAAGCCCAATGTGGGACTCGATCCCGGGCCTCCAGGCTCACACCCTGGACTGAAGGCAGCCCTAAACAGCTGAGCCACCCGGGCTGCCCATGTCTCTGATTTTTAAGACCAGTGTTATGATTATTTTTATGCTGAAGGGTGTCTTTAAAACTCATGATTTATTCTCTTAGCCTTTAGATCATATTATTGAAAACTAAATTGGGGGGGGGTTTCCTTTTTTTTCTAAGTAAAAACTTTTTTAAAAAGATTTTATTTATTTATTCATGAGAGACACAAAGAGAGGGGCAGAGACATAGGCAGAGGGAGAAGCAGGCTCCTTGTGGGGAACCCAAAGCAGGACTCGGTCCCAGGACCCTGGGATCATGATGTGAGCCAAAGGCAGAGGCTCAACTACTGAACCACCCAGGTGTCCACTAAGTAAAAACCTTTAACATCAAAGTGCTGTAGATACATTAATATACATGTAAATGCTCCTCGTGACTCTCTTGGTCTAGCCCAAGGTGTCAACCACAGCCCTGGATTTCCCAAGCTCTATTCCCCCAAGGCTGTCTGAGGTTTTTATATGCTAATTATTAGTCAAGTACTCCCAAGGGCCCACGAACCCTTAGAAATACACTTAAAAAGGTTAGTTTCCAGCTCAAGTCCAGCTAGAAACTAGCCTTTAAAGTATATTTCTTTTCAAAAAAGAAATATAAGAAAGAAAAGAATATAGGAAAGGGAAAAAAAAAGAAGTATTCATATTCACTTATGAGTGCTTAGAACTCAGGATGCTTGAGGTTAGAATTCCTCTTACCAGTAGATTCTCTGGCTTAATGTCCCGGTGGACGATGTTCAGGCTGTGCAGGTATTTGATGGCGCTGGCCAGATTGTACAGCATCCCACTGGCGTCTCGTTCAGTGTATTTGTTAGTTGAAGTAATGGCATCAAAGAGGTCTCCTCCCTGAGAAGAGAACAGCAGGTGGAGCAGCACGTTAGCAGATGATCCAATGGTGCCTCCTGGAGAGGTAACCGACAGATTATCAAGGAGATGAAGAAGCATGCAGGATCTTTGGGCTCCTAGGGCTTTCCCTGCCACTTCCATTGCAAAGGCCCACAGACTTCCTATGGTGATTTCTTTCCCCACCGTGAAAGCCAGTATGGCATCTCCTCCATAGCTCAAAGGAGCAGGTGAGGATTCTCTGCCACTCAATGCGCAGTGGTTTCCACAGCCCCAACCAGGGAGGAGAGGCGGAGCCAGGTCTCCAGGGCAGAGGCCTGTGACCCCTGGGTGCCCTGGCAGCATGTACCACCTGCCTCATACTAACTGCGAGCAGAAGTTCAAAGTCATAATCCCAAAGCTCTCAGAATGAGAAACAGGTAATACTGCAGATCACATCCTTAACAAAATGTTCTGCTGCCTTATGAAGTACGGGCGCGTGCGCGCGCGCGCGCACACACACACACACACACACACACACACACACACACACACATACACTCCATTCGCTTCATTCTCTAGATTTAGCTCTCTTGGAGTGGGTGTAATGTTTTCTTTTTCAATAATGTGCTTCTTTGTAAGGAGCAGAGAAAAGGACAGAAACTGTCATTCCAATGATGAGAGAGAAAGAGAGGAGGAGGGAGGAGGGTGGAGAAATTTCAAAGAAAGTTTTCTAGGACCATTATTCATCTGAACTTTTGTTTCCCTTGTTCCTTGCTAACATATTGTTATTTGGAGAAATAGAATGCTTTTAGGCTCCAATTTTAGTTCTATTTATTTGAAACTCTTTCAGAAATTTGGGTCTGATTTACTAACAACGTTTGCATCATTCTTGCACACAATGCACCAAATAGCTCAGCACAGGAGCCAACTGTGTTCATCTATTGCCTAATGTGGTAAGGGATTTCATTTTTTGTTTTTAAATAGCAAAAGCAAAATATAGGCCTTACAGGCTGGTGATTTTTGAATTTCACGAGCTGGCCTATCCTCTGTTCCCCTGTACCAGCCTCCACTCAGGAGGCTGCTCCCACAGCCCATTCAGCCTTGACAGTTCCCAACCTGAGCACCTACATTTGTGTCAAAATGAACACTTTCTCAGCTTTCTCTTTCTCTCAAAGGCAAGGCTGCCAAATGCAGGTTTACAGGTTGTTTCCATGCCTCCAGGAGGCAGGATTTTCAGTGTGGCTATGTGAACAGCACCCTGATGTAGTGAGATGTGTGCGTGGCTGTGTATGATGATCCCCCATGACTCCACAGTTGTCCTAGTTATCTAGGTAAGCTTCAGGCATCCTGTGAGCTCGCTTCCTCTGCATCCTCAACAACGCAGTCGGCCAGTCCTTCCTGTAAGGCATGCCACATACAGAGCTCTTCTCCTGGGTAAGAGCTATTGCTGCACTATCCCTGGGGGCTCCATGTGGCCTCACAACCTGCACTGCCTCCCAGGCTCTTTATTTGAAGCATCCAAGGAACTGACTGTTACCTTCCCACCTGGTATGTTGGCCTTTTCCTTCTCTCTTCAAAAAGTTGGCATTCCTTTCCCATGGCTCTCCATGTTCGGGTGCCCTCCTAATTCCAACCTGTCTCATTGCATCTCCTGCCACTAGCTAGACCAGTTTGTTGACTTTATGCTCCAGGGAGGATATTCTTCCCCCATCATTAAAACATGCCCAAATCACCCTGCGTTCCAAGTCTGTCCTTCTTAGAACCCCCTTCCTAGAATGTCCCATCTAGTGCCTTTGTCTCTCTCCTGCTGATCAGTTAGGGCCTGGCCACAGGGCTGCCTCCCTCACCCTTCCTCTGAACACATTTGCAATTTGCATGGGCACATATCTGTAGGCAGAAGTCTAAAGTCTTGTTCTTATTAATTATGGAATTTCACTTGTAATTACTGTTACTTCACTATTTTCTAGAATACAGGCCTTGTTTATCCTAAAGCCACAGGCACTCTTTGGCACACCATCAGACTCATGACAAGTATGGCCCTAGCTACAATTCTCCGGGGAAATGTTTCTGGGAGCCTTTCAACTCAAGCCTGGGGTTGGCCTTCACTTCTCAGGATGCTTCCAGATCTGGCCTCACAGCAGTTCTGGAGCAGCCTAAATGTAAGGGTGTGATCTGGTGGTACAATTGAGAAGTCCTGATGCTGGACTATGCAGACACTCTCTGGCCTTGTTGGGCTATCCTGGTCAAATTCCCAGAGGGAATTTGCAAAAGGCTGTTAAGTGAAGTGAAGCCTCCCAGTGGTAACTGAGCTATTGTCACCTGACTAAGCATCTCAGTAACAGCCTAGGCTTTCCCACCAAAATGTATTCTGAACTCTTAAGCCTTCACTGCTTTCATTTCTCAGCTTCAAATTTGTTTGTCTTAACTCTTCAAAAATCAGCCAATAAAAGGAGGCTAATCAGTTTTTAACAGCATACAGAAGGGCAACAGGAATGGTTTGAATTTGTTGCCCTGAAAATTAAAATCATTGTAAAAATATTATCCTTGGACCTAGAGAAAGTATATTTTACAATATGGGTGATTACCAAACTCTACATGGCAATAAAGCACCAATATGAAAATCTTCCAAATAACTGAAATCAACCTTTCTTTGTTGAAATAATAGTTTACCATTTTTATCTCCCTCAGTCTCAAATGAGGCAATACCTTTGTTTCACTACAAATCAACAAGTCCCACTTCTCTGAAAGAAACAAATCCTAACATAAAGTGGGAAAAAGTAGGCTTCATCTGCAAATATAAATAACCACTAAAAAAAAAAAAAAAAAAGCCAACAGATCTAGAGTAAAGCAACTCTGAATAATAAAAGCTTAAAGGGCCCTCAAATGAGCATTTTTCTACATAGTAACAGATTAGCTTATTACATGCTGTCTTTGTCTTAAGTCTTTACAGAAGGAAATGCCACATTCCACAGTGCTGATTCCTGCCACCAGCTGGGGCGTGTGATTCCAAACATGGTTCCCGGAGCCCCAGGCACTCACTGATGGGTGCACACAGTTGATGCAGAGGGTGGTGTGACTAATTTACGACATTTTACAACTAAAGTAGAAATTAGTTACACCTTCAGTTAGATTAACATAATAGGAAAAAGGCTTGAGAAAAACAGCACTTCATGAACACTAGACACTAAATTGGTAAAAGTTTTTAGTTACTGAAAATTTTAAATATGGAAGTAGAGGGAACAGGAGAGTCACCTTTCACTTAGATTCAACCATTATCAATATATGGCCATTTCTATCCATATTCTATGATTTAATAAAATACAAATGTAATTTTATGTAACAAGATGAGGTTGTAACATCTACTGAAAGGCAGCAGAATATTTTCTACTGTGATTTTTCTATGATGTTGGTGACTAAAAGTTTAAAGCTTTTTCTTTTTTTTTTTTTTAATAAGAATGGTTGATACCTTTGGATGTGGTTCGTGAAAAAGTACACAATTTCTACTACAATCTTAACAACAATGATCATATTGGTACCAAATACTTTCTGTGTATTAGAAAATACATAGTGGAGGGTGCCCAGTGGCTCAGTCAGTTGAGTATCGGACTCTCGACTTTGCCTCAGGTCATAATCTCAGAACCATGAGATCAAGTTCCACATTGGGCTTAAGATTCACTCTCTTCCTCTCCTGCTCTTCCCCTCACAAAAAAAAAAAAAAAAAAAGAAAGAAAGAAAGAAAGAAAGAAAGAAAGAAAGAAAGAAAGAACATGGTGAAAGCCACCTTTCTTATCTTCACCATAACACTCCTAGTACGTACTATTAATCTTCTCATTTTACCTTTGAGGAGACAGAGGTACAGAGAAGTATACCCAACGTCAGAAAGCTATTATGTCAAGGCTGGGACTTGAATTCTTGCGGTATAACTCTAGCGTTAATACTCTTAACTGTTATGCCAATACATGGACATGAAAGACTAAACATTGGTAGAAGGAAATAAAGGAGATAAAATAGAAAATAAAGAGCCTGATCAGATAGGAAAGTGTGGTACCTTGTGGGTTTATTCTTTTTCTAAGATACACACCTTTACTAATTCCATGACAAGATACAGTTCTGTTGGCACATCCATCTCTTCGATCAGAAGAACAATATTGGGATGTTTCACTCTTCTTAAAATAGACACCTCATTCTGGATCATGTGCTCCTGTTGAAGAGAAAAGTTACCTCAATCAATATACACATCAAAATACATGAGGAGCTAACTTCAATGAGTGAAACTATACTGAGGATCAAAGGAGATATGCTTTGGTAACAGAGAATGAGTATATCCTAGATTGAGATACTCAGCCTAGAACTGCCAAAAGGTGTTGAAGGTCCTCAGATGATGCTTGCAGCCTATCAGGATAAGTATAATTGCATATAGAAGGATGGAATGAAACTTAGATTGCAAAAGTAAATGAAGAAAGTAAAGAGGCAAACAACGATAATGGAACAGAAATACAATCATTCCAATTAACTTTTATTGCAAGAATATTTATAGGATAAAGTTATGTTCCAATAAATATATAACATTCTATTCCACCAAAATGCAATTCTTGGGGTGACCTTATGTTTATTTGGGAACTGATCTTCGTGTTTCTACCCCAGCAACCCCCTATTTTCATAACAATATGCCTTATACATACTTTGCCTCGACATTTGCTTTTCTTGATAATTTTCAGAGCATACTCCCTAGCGGTTGACCTGCAAAGAGAAAGTTATTTGTAAAAAAATAAACTCAATTTCAAATCTGTTGAGTCATTTTGTTAAGGATTAATTTATTAGCCCATATATCTTGCATCAAACTGGTGTGAATATTTTGTAAAAGATTCCTTTTTTCAAAGAAATATGTAAATCTTAAGGGGTGGACCAAGTGTACGGACAACAAATATGCTAGGATAGAAACATCTTGAGCTGTTTGTTACCATTTTTGCAATAAAACCACCACCATCGGGGTGCCTGAGTGGTTCAGTAGGTTAAGCTACCAGCTCTTGATTACAATTCAGGTCATGATTTCAGGGTCCTGAGATGGAGCCTCACATCAGGCTTTGAGCTCAGTAGGGAGTCTGCTTTAGGATTCTCTCTCCCCCTCTGCCCCTCCTCCCTTGCCCTCTCTCTCTCAAATAAATAAATCTTTAAAAACAAACAAACAAACAAACTCAGGACTCTTGTTCTTAAGGACTCTGCTTCATATACAGCCCAGCCAACTCTGACCTTCCTCTGTGATGGGTGTGGGAGGGAGGGCTGAGTCATATAGGCACCTTTAAATAGCTTCCTAAATTGTGTTAACATTTCTAAGATACTGTAGTGCCAAAAACAACAGCTCTATTGTCAAAAGATGTATACTTAATAATCATAGGAAACCACTATTTTACAAGCATTGCCATTTCATTTCTGATGGGAAACCAGAACAGCTTAGCTTCTTACCCATAGGTAAAAGCCATCTTGAGGGATGCAAATGAATACAGTGGGAGTCAGATTGATTAAGAACAAAAGTTTTAAATAGGGTTTTAAAATCTTCAGTATGAAAAAAATAAAAATAAATAAAAATAAAATCTTCCGTATGAATAATCAAAGGGGGATTTCCTAGTAGGAAATCAAGGAGTAGAATCTCCAAGGGTCAAGTGGGTGTGTGGCTGGCTTCCAGGACACCAGGCCAATTAGGTTATGTCTTAAACCTAGGACTGAAGGACAAATATGGGCAAGCCTGGGCTGCAGTGGCCTCAGGGCTTACTGGGAAAAGGGATTTAATGGGTTCAGTACCCAGAACCTTACGTAAGATCCAAAACTCAGTTAGATTGACCCGTATTTTATATCAGATGGTGAGCCCTGTAGAGGACCACCAAAATTAATACTGCAAGTTTTCTTTCTTGATTCCTTGAAGGCAGAACCATAAAGTCCTAATAAAATCCTTAATTATTATATGTTTATAGGAAAGTGGCTGAGTCTGGAAAATAAACCTGAGAACAGCTGTTAGTACTAAATGTATACCATAAGTATAAAAACTTAACTTCTTGCTCTAAGTTGGTAAATGAAAACACTTGGCAAGAAATAAAACCTTAAACCAAGTATTTGCCTTCCTGCGGACCCTAACTCTGAGGACCACTGTGGCTGTGTAATTCTTCAGTGAGTGATTACAAGCAGGGTTCTTTGGTGGCTACAGAGGTGAACAAAACCTGGGCATTTCAGACAGGTGAGCAAAACCTGGTCCTTGTCCCAAGGAGCCTACAGCTTGTTGTGGTGAGAACACCAGACACCAGGATTGCTAGTGAAACTATAACCCATTTGCTCATTCCTGAAATTACATTCTTGACCTTGCACAGAATCACGGAGCTTTGAATGTCACAGCAAAGGCAGTGGCAGCAGCAGCAGTAGCAGCAACAGGACAATCTTTGTTTGCTTTTTCCTTCTATATAAGAACTCAATTTGTAAGGTCTCCTTCTTATTAGGATTGACCCAAGGTTAGAGCTTGAACTATTAAGAGAGAAATTTCCAAATTTTATGAATTTGAACTAAATCTAATTTTTTAATGTTTGTGCTAAAAAATAATGGTTTGGAGAAAGCAGTCTTGTTTAGTGATTCTCAACCCAGGGCCAGTCTGCTACCCAGCCCCCTTCCCTCACCCTGGGATGGGGGGGCAGCAGAACACTTATTGATTGGGATGCTCTGGACTAATGTGCTTTTTGTTGTTGCTGTTATGGGGGTGGTGCTAGGTTTTCAAGGCACTAAAGTTCTGTGGAAAAGGAAAAACAGCTTCCCAGGCATTTCCATTGTAGAATTTGATGGATTTCATGGCAACCCATCCATTATGGATTAGGTTCTCAAGCAAAGAGACTGGGGGTCTTGTCCCTCTCTATAGTCCCAAATATGTCCAGTGTAGGCCTGAACTAGCAAAGGCTCCGAGCATGTTGGTTGAGTTGTGGAAATTCCAGAGGATGTTGGCAGTTAGGACCCCCCCCCCTAACAAAGAAGGGTTAGTAAGCACCACCCTTCCTTTGCCACATAATCATAAGGAAGCCCATCTCAGCCTCTTCCGAAGAGGGTAATTGTGGAGAGCAGAGAATTGAGGCATTCCAGAATGTCTTGTCAGACATCTCTGGAGTAGAGTCTGATTTTGAAATTGAGCACAAGCCCAGTGCCAGAGCATCCTCAGGAAGAAGGGAAGGAAGAGTACTGTCAGCTAGCTGAGAAACAGCTAAGCTTCACCCTGACTCATCCTCCAAATCACACTTCAGAAGGAAATGCCTTCAGACTTTAGGTCCAAGGTTTTAGAGGTTCTTGAGATTTCTGAAGACCTTCTAGGAAGATGCAACCCATTTTTGTGGCCTTGAAGTCCCCGTCCGTTCAGATGGGTTTGAGCCCACCTATATGCGCTGCTCAAGCCAATGGTTTCCTTGCGCAGTTCCTTGGGCTTATAGGGGAGGCAAGGAGAGAGGGAATCATGAGCAGCTAGAACCTTAATACAATTCTGATGCATACACTGCTAAAAAATGCAAGCAGTGCAGGTGGAGAGGAGGACCAGAAGCCCCTGGAGACACTGGCCCTACTCATAGCTGCACCTCTTATACCCTTGGCTTGTAGGTAATTTTGTCCATGAAGAGCCCTGAAAGCCAAAGATGAAAGGCACTTCATTGTGCCCTGTACTCATGCTCTGAGCCCTCAGGGGTCTCTTCAGCTCTCTGAGTTTTCTTTGGGAGCTCAAGTATTCCATAAAACAGCTTCAGAATAGAGCAAGTTCACCAACCTCCTCTGGCATGTCCTAGGGACTCCTGAGGCCACTGGCAAAACTGCTACAGGGGAACAGACAGAAATCTAAGTGGACCGGGCAACCACTGCTAAAGGATATGCTGGGACAGGGCCGTGGAACACAAGGCCTATGCAACACTATTATTGTGTCCATTGTTGTAGGAAAGCCTTCCCTGTGACAGCATATTACTAACAGAGGAGGACATACTTGCTCTTGTTAATACATATGCATCCTTCAAAGTATGGCAGGATGTCCCTGCAAGCAATGTGTGCCATTCACAACATTCTTAGCTCACTTTTATTTTCCTGGACCTCTGGAAAATATTAAGAGAATGTTTCATGATGCCTCCAGGGAGAGAGGGCACATGCCATATGTCCTCATTCAGCAGGAGCAGAACACTGAAACTTTTGGGGGCAATCGGTGTTTAGACTCCGAAGGCTTATACAATGAAACCCAAGATGAGAACTCATGCAAAATGAACACAATCCAAGCTAGAAAGAAAGAAATTAATTCTGGATAGAGACATGAGAAATTTCTCTTGTGGGAAGACCAGTAACTGTTAGACTAAGATGCCATCATGATCTCTGAGCAAGCTAGGAGAAACAGCACATGGCTGCCACACCAGGCTGAACAGAGGACAAACACTGGTGGATAACCAGATACCCCACATAGGAAGGGCATGGCAATCTGCTAAAAATGGGATTTTTCTGCCACAATGGAAAAAAAAGTTAAAAAGAGTTGAATCTATTATCAGTAAAAGTAGAAATGAAATATAAAATTATATAAACATACACACACACACACACACACACACACACTTCCACCCTTTGCATTACGAGTGGCTCTCCTGATTTAACTTTTATTTTTTTTGTACAGAGACAAATGTGGTATGCGTGACTTTAGATCAGCTAAGCTACATTCTCATGAGAGACTCCTTGTTGGAGGGAGTGAAGTGGTCAAAAGTGTGGGTTTTGGACCTATGCCTTATTAAGTACCTACTAGCCGAGCGACCTTGGGCATTTAACTTCTCTAACAGCATTCTTTGTATGCTTTATATAAAACAAAGACAATATTGGTATTATGGGATTATTATGGCAATTACATGAAGAATCATAAGGGCTTTGTCTGTAGTTTATGCTCAGTGAACAGTGGTTGTTCCTGGTTTTGGAGGTGACTGAGGTGACTGAGGGCAGAGGGGAGAAAAAGTAGCCTAACAGTAACTAATAAGAGGTTTTCTTATACTACTTATTCCATGCCCCTCCTTCACAGAGTGGCTGCTACAGTGGCTTGTTGGCCCTGGGGGGAATATCCTAGCCCAGCTGGTATGCTGCAGTTGAGCGAAGTTAGAGATTTAGTGCACAAAGGTATCTTAACAAGGGCTCTGCTGCCTTTGTGGAGGAAGCATCTTCCTAAGAGTGGCAAAGGGGGCAGGGGAGCAAATCAGTGGACACTGACCCAAGTGAGGACCCTGGTGATGCCTGAGGCACTGTGCAGACTTCCAACTCTAACATGGCACAAATCTTGTGCTTTTAAATCAAAGCCCTTAGAGAAGAACAAGTTCTGGATCTTGCCAAGACTAAAGCTTGTAGTCCAAGGCATCCTCTCTGAGAGGTAGAGTAGAGTGAAGGAGCATTATTTTCAGACAGTGCTATCTAGTAGGAGCCCAGCCTCACCATGGGCAGAGAGAAGTGACAGGGAAGCCAGTCCCCAGGAAGCGCATGTGCACTTCCTCAAGAACAAAGCAGGGTTTCCCCTAACTTTTCCATACTCTGTTCACCAGCTCTGAGAAGGAGCTGCTGGCAGACCAGGTCCCTGTAAAGCAAAAATCTGTTCAAGAAATGAAGTCCAAATAGAACACTGGGCTTGGGGTTTGAGGCCGCCATAATCTGGGCTGTGACTTTATTAGTTGTCACTTTATCTAGGAGCCACCAGCCACTGTCTTTGATTAGGTATCAGGATCTCAGAGATACACCTTTTACTCCAAACCTCTTGCCCTTGGCCCACAAGAGTACCAAGCTCATTCATTTTGAAACATTTTAATATATTAAACCATTTTTGTTGGGATCAGTATATACTCATTTTAAAGCTTTTCAAGGTTACTATATTTAATTTGATGATAGTACATTAGTATACACCATATACAAGAATGTTCTGACCTCTACAAGATGCCTCAAAAAAGTGTAGAGAAAAAAAAAAAACCATTCAATACGTATTTTTTTTTTTTTTTAACAAAATGAAAGGGCTCACCTGAAAGATCTGGCAAAGTTTTGCTGAGTACATTAAAAAGGAAAAATCAAAGTCCTTAATTTATAGATTGTCCCGGGAATCACTACATTTTTCAAATCTGTTGTTAGATGGGCTTTTCCTTCTTTAAAAAAATTTTTTTTTTTACATCTGGAGTTGAGACAGTAACCTATTCCATATGTGCCACAGACGGCAAATAAAGACACAATCTTGGAAAACATAACGCCAACTGTTTCCTTTAAAGTTTGATGCAAATGATATCCTTCTCACCTTTCTACACATTCCTTGACAACAGCAAAATTTCCATCCCCTATTGTCCTTCCGACTTTATATCGTTCTGTTATTGTGGCCGGAATCTGGAAGCCTTCCTCCGACACTTCTGAAAGAATCATTAGTACATTTTTATTGGTAGGAAAGGGAATACAGATGTTGCCCCAGAAAGACATTTAGAAGTATCATCTAATAGACTGGAACTGATTGAGAATCGATATGTCACTTTCTATACAGTGAGGCACACCCCCCCTCTGCTGACATTGTATACTCAACAGTTTTTCCTAAGACGAATGATAAACCAAAAGGAAAGGCAGACTGTATGGCGTCCGCTTTCACGGACGGAAGAGTGGCTGACACTTTCGCTCCTTGCGTTTCATGCCAATTTGATCAATAGTGTTTACTGACTGACTACCCACCGTCTTCAGAGAAATGACATTCCTAGGTATGGCTCAGGACGAAAGTGGAGGTTATAGGGGACCCTGGGCTGCTTGACATTGGACAAGCATGACACATGCCTGCTGTTTGGACACTTAGCTTTACTACATCCTGAAACGGAGATCTCCGTAAAATTCCTTATGAACTAAGCCCCGATTGCCCAGCCTGCCTAGTATCAATGAGCAGATTTTAGACAAATGTTCTCACCAGCAACCTGCATAGCAGATGTTGAGTTAAAATTGCAATATTTATTATGTCTGTGAACAGAACAGTTTTGTAGTTTCAATTATGTTAGTGCCACTAACACAACACATTTTCCCCCTTAAAATGCATTTTGAAATATTTTACAAATGCCTAATAATGCTTTAAATATCTAAGGCCATAAAACTAAATAAGCCACACTTAGGTCACATAAATATACTGGATAACCTTTAACATCTTTGGGGTGTAAAAAGCTTTTTATAGATGGGCTCTAAAATTTACATGCTTTAAAGTTATAAATCCTAGCTCTCCCTCAGGCAACCTGAATACAAAATGTGATGGAGGCCTAGTGTGCTTTCTAAATGTGCTCCTATTCTGACCTTTAATCATAAACTGAGACTAAACATTTCTTCTCAAAATAAAATTAAAACCTTAGGTTGTGCACAGGCTTTCTTGGTGATTTTGTATTCTCCAGTAGTCTGCAACATCGGGGAAGAACAAATGGAAACTCACAATTATCACACATCTGCTTTAGGACTCTTATTCTGGTTCTGATCATGCTCAATCTGCACCACTCTGGACCCTAGGGTGGAAGGAATTTCTGGAAAGTGGTGTACAAGAGTGGGACATTTGCTGCTACTACCTTTACCTTCGGCATTTTGTGCAGCCTCTTTACCTCTTTATAGGTGACGTTTTAGTCTTAACCCACCAGAAGCTATCACAGTGGTCTCCAGAATAAAGTGAGAGCTGATGCTAATTGACACCCCCTCCCTAATCCCCACCATCTCACAACCAGAGAAGCCTCTGGTTTCAGAGACTCAGCCTGGGGATTTTTGTCTACTCCATGGGAATTAGAGGAGATCATTGGAGAAGTTTCAAATCCACTGCAAAGCACCGAATTTATAAAACATCACACAGATGACATGGTCTTAAGGCTCTTTACTACACGGATAATAAAAATAACCATCCTTGGCTGTCAGAAGCAAGGCAGACTCCAGATGGGAAATGGAAGGAGGTACTTCATCCTTCCTTCCACTGGGAGCATCAGTGAGGCACCCATCTGGAGCACATGGCTTGGGATTTTTCCCCCCCCCCCCATGGATAAAAATGTATCCTTTAGGCTTTTGACTAAGAAGGCTGTGCCAAGTCTTAGCCAAGGACCATTTCATTTCAGGTAAATATAATACAGTGGAACAAAAAGACTTCTAGATGGCTGAATTTCATACTTCTGGAAATATAAAAAAATATGATACTGCATGGTAGTCAGGAAATAATTCATGTGTGTATCACTTATTTCACTTGACATAATAAAAGGTACTTTTTTGGAAAATTAAATCATGTTTCAAACAAGTAAGAGATGCTGATTCTTGAACAATGGCTTGATTATATCAGTCTTACACTTTCCTAAGTACTTTCTCATAATTGATTTGAGGCTGAAAATGACCCCCAAGGAGAAACAGGTATATATTACAATCTTATACAGTTTTATAGGAGAGGAACTAAGATGTAGAGAGATGAAGAGGGTTATTCAAAACAGTCTAGTGAGGGGAGCCTGAGTGGCCCAGTTAAGTGTCTGACTCTTGATTTCAGCTCAGTCATGATCTCAGGGTCATGAGATTGAACACTTAGCAGGCTCTGTGCTGGGGGTGGAGCCTGCTTAAGATTCTCTCTCCACCTCTCCCCCTCAACCACCCATATTCTCCCTCTCAAAAAAAAAATTGGAAAAACAAAACAAAACAACCCAGTGAGTTAGTGAAAAAAATCAGTTCTGGAATCCAGGGCCTTTGATCACATCACAGAGAAATTCTAAAATGAAATAGCCTAAGGTACAAAGAATATTTTTTGCAATGGCTATCAAGTAATTCTCTTAGTAAAGCCATATTTTCACATACTCAGTTCGCTTATGTTAGAGTACATCTGTAACAGTCAATCAAGAAAGGGCACTGTCTTGAATATACTGAAAGTGAACAGAATTCGGGAAAACACAGGCAACAATTACTTCCTTTTATTTTCAAAGTACGCACTAGCTGGCTTCTTAGAATACTTACGCCTTCCAAGGATGTGAAATATCTCCCAATTAGGCTAATTCGCTCTTCCTGTTCCCATAGAGTAGATGAGATCCCTGGGGGAAACCATATGCAATCCTATCCCTAGGAGCTGCTTTAGGCTTCTGTTTCATAATACTTGACAAGTTACAGTTTCCTGAAGAAATTTAGCCAACCTGTCCCCTCACCTCCCCCCCAAGCTAAGCCTTCTCCTCAGACACCAACTCCCGAGCTCACCACCTTCTCCGGGTCCATCGTTCTCATCCATTGAGCTGCAGACTTTGGTGGATGCAAGGGAAGTAGAGGAGCCTCCATGCTGGGAGCTCTGTAAGGGAACAGAAACAAAAAATAAAAATACTCGGTCAGACTGCCAGTCTGCAGGTGCGATGCCCAGCCCAGGATCTTGCACCCATCACCGGGGAGGATTTGGTCTTAACACTTGAAAGGGGAGGTTCTTAGGCTATTCAATCAGATTACTTACTTTCCCGCCCTATTAACCATCTATTATTGGTTAATCATTCTAAATTTGGATGTTCCATGGCTTTTTAGTCCTTTTTCTCAAGATCAGCATCCCTTAGCTCCCTGTTTAGGTTTGTCAGATTTTAAGCATCTCACCTCACTTTTCCAGTCTATCTGCAAACAGGCCTCAAATATGGCGCCACTCTGATATCCAAATTTTTTTCTGTTCTTACCATAGGAAAAAAAAATTCTCTTCAGTTTGTTTATGGAATATCCTAAAAAAAAAATTGAGGCTTACCACATTCTTGGAGAAAGGCTACAGAGTGGGTTTGTTAATTCCACTTTGAGATAAAGACACAAGCACTAAGTAGGTTATCAATACGTTAAATGTCATAAAGTAAGTCTGAGGCAAAGACAAGAATAAAGCCTAAGCCTGGTGATTCCCTTGTATTTTGGGCATATTTTTAACCAAGACCAATGACAGCAGATAGGATAACAACTATATTTCAAAGCTCAGAGGACAAAACAATATCAAATATTTAGTACTATGATCAGCTATGGGGAAGTACTGTAACGATGAACCTTGCCATCTCTGCATCTATTCCTTGAGAAAACAATTTGTATATTTCAATGCTATTTCTAAACAGTGAACACAGCTTGTCCTAAAAGATCTTCCTTCTGTTTCCCTGGGTTTATCCACTTTGTTGGCCTGATGGGAGCAGGAGGCGGTTGAGGGGGCGGCATTGGCTCATGGTGCTGGCTGTCTGTGGAGCAGAGAGAAGGGAAAGAGCATCTGTAGTTGAATTAATAATGAAGAGGTGGTGAGAAGCAAAGTTGACCTATTTTTCCTCTGCTTACCTGTTTCCCTTCAACCTCCTCCCCATTCCATCCAGCCTTAACAGTACACAAAGTAGGAAGGAAGAGACAGTCTTACATAATTTCTTTACCCCCAATAGTCTTGTATAGAAAAAGCAGATTTTAGTTTTCACCAAAACTATCGTTGGGAAAATGTTACTGAAATCATTGCAGGGCCATTTGAGTCCACTGCCTGTTTTCCTAGGTGTGGCTAAGATAAGCATGTTCCACTGGATGAGTTCATCAAAGCTGACAGTTGACATTGGGGTAAAAGCTAGATTCACAGCAGTGATGCATCTGCTCCCTTAACAGGACATCCTAGAAGTTCGGTGGTTACTCTAGTACACTGCTGAATAAAACACAGTTTGTGTGGTGTGTCCTTTATTTTCCTTCCACCAATCAGTCTGGTGACTTGAGTGGTTTTTTTCAGCCTTTCTCATCCAGCCTCCCTTTGTGACGAGCAGCACACATTTATCCTATATCTGGCTAGAAAGTGGGATTCAGACTGTAACCTTGCAACAGTTTTCTCTTGAAGTGACACTATGTGGTCATAACCGACTCTGTCGAAGGTACTGTAAATGTATGAGCTTCTAAGTCATGCTCTGCTGACTTTTATGGATGTCTGTTTGTGAAAACCTTGTATTTTTAATATTGGAATACAAGGCTTAGACAAGGCAGATTTATAATGTCGATATCTGGTGAAAATAATCATTACCACATTTGAGGGGAAGGGGTGTGTTTTCCAGAAAGTGAGATCTTTTATCCTGTGTCCATTGCTTTTGCTGTAGACATAGTGTGGTTCCAAGAAGAAAAGCAGTTGGTAAATGTCTAAAATGTAGACCTTCTCTTCTGGGCTTTCTGATTCTTGAATTTCTTCCAGCATCCTCACAAGTGTGTTCATTGTGGTTCAGGGTGGCAGGTGCTGTCTTGTCATATGGTGTTTTAATTTTTTTTTTTTAATTTTTATTTATTTATGATAGTCACACAGAGAGAGAGAGAGAGGCAGAGACACAGGCAGAGGGAGAAGCAGGCTCCATGCACCGGGAGCCCGACGTGGGATTCGATCCCGGGTCTCCAGGATCGTGCCCTGGGCCAAAGGCAGGCGCCAAACCGCTGCGCCACCCAGGGATCCCTCATATGGTGTTTTAAATTTTAGAATACAAAGACACATTCTTTCATCAAGCACTCAAATTAATAGACTAGTAGCGTGTTTCCTAGCAAAGATGTCCACGATTATGTACTCAATTCAAAAAGCTTGTTCTTTTAATAAGAACTTCAGATACTCAAAATAGGACGCTGACCCAAAGTATATGAAAACATCTCTGTATGCACATTACAGTTCTGAACTGTAATGTTCAGAAACTTACTGGATATTATTCACTCAAGTGCCTTATCAACTAACAAATAGCATTTTTAACAGTGCCACCTAACATCTGAGGCCAGCTGTGTTCCCTCTGCCTTATGGACAAAAACCCCCCAAGGTTTTTAGGTTCTGTTTAAAAAAAGAGAGAGAGAGAGGATTACCACAAATTTACTTACATTTAGAATTGCTTATTTTCAACTTTAGGTTTGAAAATCTACCCCAAATAATTTAAAACTTCATGCTGAGGGTAACAGACAACTAAGAGAAAATTAAAAAAAAAAAAATTTAAAGGGAGTTTACTTAAAGATAGAGAACACAGAGTGGAAAGTTCTTTTTTTTTTTATTATGATCAAATAGAGTAAAATAAATATATTAGATTCCTAATGGTGTTCTCTTTTCTCTTTCCCAAAGAAGTAAAATAGTTAACATTGTACACTTTTCTAAGACAATAGTTATTCACAGATTCAAAAAATTTCAGGAATTGAAGGAGACCTTACATATTACTTATTCCACTGTACTTCCGTCCATAAATCCCCACTACAAAAACCCTAGCCATTTAGTCAAATGGCCTCTGTCCAAACACCACTACTGAACACATTTTTCAGTGGTCCCTTGATTGTTCATTGGAGACAAAGTTCTTCCTTATATTGAAATGATGTCCTACATTTTTGACTTATTGATCTTAGCTCTCACCTCTGGAGCTACCCAGTGCAGGTCTAATTCATGACAGTGCTTCAGGAATTTGGCAATAGCTTCTGGACCCCTTTAGTACCTTCTCTTCTTCCATTTGTATATTTCCCGTTTTTTTGATTGTTCATCATACTACACGGTTTCATGACCCCTTCCACCCTCCTACGGATAAACTCCAGTTCTCAATATTTCTTGTTAATGCCAGTGCTCAAAACAAATGTAATATTTAGGTGTACCCTGACCAGCACAGAGCAGAGGACAGAGCTTTTGACCTTGTGACCTTTTTGACCTTTTTAGCCTAACACTGAGCTCACAGTTATATCAGGTCTTGCTAGTCTGTATTTGGGAGTTTGGTGCTTTGGATCAAGTCTAAGACTCCCTGTTTATTCATGCTACATGTTATCTTTATTACATTGATATCCTTGCAAACTATTATTTTTCTTAATTCTGATTCTGCCACCTGACGTTTTTGTTCTGCCAGTTGAAGTGATTCAGTAAACAACATGGCTCTTTGTGTATGCTAGTTACTAATCCTAAATATACTAATTTAGACAGTGTTGGAACACTTTTATTACTGCTCATAAGTCTGATTGAAAGATTTTGAGTGTAGTAAAGGGAAAATGTGTAAATTCTTGCTCTTTAGAATTAACCCAAAGAGATTAATCAGCCTTTATTTAGACCAACAGAAGCTGAAAAGCCTGCTTATATTTTTTCATGCTTACAAGTGAAATCAGTTTGCTTATTTGGTTTTTCTGAACAGATAAACCATTTTATAGTATGCATAATGGTAAGATTTTGTGTTTGCTTTAGTTTGCTAATTCTAAGGCATCTGGATGTGTAGTACAAAACATATACTTTTTTTTAGAATTTAACACAATTAGTTGCTCTAAGAGACACTGTGACATTTGAAATGTTATCACCTCCAAGCAGATTTAATGGGAACCAGGTGGGCAGGTTGCTCGCACCTGGATGCTTTTATGACACACCTTCATAAAAGTACCGCCCTAAGTAAGAACACATCCTAAGTGTGGCTATTTAGCTTGGGATCATATAACAGATGGAGAACATATCACACTTTGTGAAATAAGTGAGAAAGCTGACATAACAGCTCTAACCACATTTTATCAAGATGTATTTGATGACTATGTAGTTAAAAACAGTTCATTTAAAATATAATGGCACTAGTTACCCCTGCCATTTGTATTAATGGTGCTACTCAACCGAGGATCATGAGGATCACACTGAATAAAGTTTTCAAAAATATCCAATTAATCCACTGATCTATTCAAGGTAGAAAAATCTCACCAGATAACTTTAGCTTTGACTGGATAATTATTTACTTCCACTTCACATCCTGCCTTGGCATACAACTATTAGTTACTATTAACTTGAAAAATTGTAAAAAGAAGAAGAAGAAGAAGAAGAAGAAGAAGAAGAAGAAGAAGAAGAAGAAGAAGAAGAAGAGAGGAGGAGGAGGAGGAGGAGGAGGAGGAGGAGGAGGAGGAGGAGGAGGAGGAGGAGGAGAAGGAGGAGGAGAAGAAGAAGAAGGAGAAGGAGAAGGAGAAGAAGAAAAAGAAGAAGAAGAAGAAGAAGAAGAAGAAGAAGAAGAATTATTTAAAAATCAAGTGGATCAACTTTAGAAAGGAAACAAAATCAGGAAATATTTAACAAATTCAAACTCCTGTCTTGGTATTCTTGATTTGAAGTCTATAGAATCTCTAAAGATGACCTCCTTTAATAAAAAAAAAAAAATTAAATCATACTCTTGCTGTTGAAAACTTGAAACCTGAGGATTCTAAGTGTGTATAAAAAAAACCATTCATTTGCTTTCCAAGTGTGTATGAACAATAATAAGTTGGTCACATCAATCTGTAATAACTAATAAGATTCTATTACATGAAACAAGGCAAGGGGAATTCCTTTTTTCCAAATTCCTCTATCAAAAAAAAAAATTCCTC